TGCCAAGAGAGAATGAATATATCATTCGATAGAGAATTAAATTCTCTCCAACTAGATGTATTCGCTATAGACAGAGTCGATTTCAAATAGGGCCATAAATGGAAAAAAAAGATCCGACTCATATGTGTGATATAGTCAGTTCACATATTTGGATGGATTATGCTCAAGTGAATTTCCATTGCCAAAAGAGAATGAATATATCATTCGATAGAGAATTAAATTCTCTACAAGTGGATATATTCACTATAGACAGAATCGATTTCAAATAAGGCCATAAGTGGAAAAAACAGATCTGACGCATATGTGTTATATGGTCAGGTCACATATTTGGATGGATTATGCTGAACTGAATTTCCATTGCCAAGAGAAAATGAATATATCATTCGACAGACAATTAAATTCTCCACAAGTAGATGTATTTACTATAGAGCGAATCGATTTCAAATAGGGACATAAGTCGAAAAAAAAGATCCGACTCATATGTGTGATTTGGTCAGTACATATATTCGGATGGATTATGCTCAACTGAATTTCCATTGCCAAGAGAAAATGAATATATCATTCGATAGAGAGTTAAATTCTCTACAACTAGATGTATTCACTATAGAGAGAATCGATTTCAAATAGGGCCATAAGGGGAAAAAAAAGATCCGACTCATATGTGTGACATAGTCAGTTCACATATTTGGATGGATTATGCTCAAGTCAATTTCCATCGCCAAGAGAGAATGAACATATCACTCGATAGAGAATTACAGTCTCTACAAGTAGATGTATTTACTATAGAGAGAATCGATTTCCAATTGGGACATAAGTCGAAAAAAAACATTCCGACTCATATGTGTGATATGGTCAGTTCGCATATTCGGATAGACTATGCTGAACTGAATTTCCATTGCCAAGACAGAATGAATATATCATTCGATAGAGAATTAAATTCTCCACAAGTAGATGTATTCACTATAGAGCGAATCGATTTCAAGTAGGGACATAAGTCGAAAAAAAAGATCCGACTCATATGTGTGATTTGCTCAGTTGACATATTCGGATGGATTATGCTCAACTGAATTTCCATTGCCAAAAGAAAATGAATATATCATTCGATAGAGAGTTAAATTCTCTACAAGTAGATGTATTCACTATAGAGAGAATCGATTTGAAATAGGGACATAAGTCGAAAAAAAACATTTCGACTCATATGTGTGATTTGGTCAGTTCACATATTCGGATGGATTATGCGGAACTGAATTTCCATTGCCAAGAGAGAATGAATATATCATTCGATAGAGAATTAAATTCTCTATTCAATGATGTATTCATTCTCTCTTGGCAATGGAAGTTCAGTTGACTGGAATGGATCTGAGTATGTTAACTCCCCATATTAGACCTGTGAGTGCGATCGTTTTTTGGAACTCAAAACACTTTTGAAAATTGATTCTCTCTATAGAGAATACATCATCTTGTAGAGACTTCAATTCTCTACTTAGGGATGTATTCATTCTCTCTTGGCAATGGATATGGAGTTGACTACAATTGATATGAGTACGTGAGCTGACCATATGAGACTTGTGACTCCTTTTTTTTTTTGGAACTCGAAACCCTTTTCGAAATTGATTCTCTATATTCTGAATACATCATCTTGTAGAAAATTAAATTCTCTATTCAATGATATATTCATTCTGTCTTGGGAATGGATATTGAGTTCACTACAATCGATATGAATACGTGAGCTGACCATATGAGACGTGTGAGTCTTTTGTTTTTTTGGGACTCGAAACGCTTTTCAAAATTGATTCTCTCTATAGTGAATATGTCATCTTGTAGAGAATTAAATTCTCTATTCGATGATGTATTCATCCTCTCTTGGCAATGGAAGTTCAGTTCACTTGAATGAATCTGAATAGGTTAATACCCCATATGAGACGTGTGAGTGCGACCTTTTTTCGGGACTCAATACCCTTTTCAAAATTGATTCTCTCTATAGAGAATACATCATCTTGTAGAGAATTAAATTCTCTAATCAATGATATATTCATTCTCTCTTGGCAATGGATATTGAGTTCACTACAATCGATGTGAATACGTGAGCTGACCATATGAGACGTGTCAGTCCGATCTTTTTTTGGGACTCGAAACCCTTTTTGAAATTGATTGTCGCTATACTGAATACATCATCTGGTAGAGAATGAAATTCTCTATTCAATGATATATTCATTCTCTCTTGGCAATGGATATTGAGTTGAGTACAATTGATATGAATACGTGAGCTGACCATATGAGACGTGTCAGCCCAATCTTTTTTTGGGACTCGAAACTTTGTTCGAAATTGATTGTCGCTATACTGAATACATCATCTTGTAGAAAATTAAATTCTCTATTCAATGATATATTCATTCTCTCTTGGGAGCGGATATTGAGTTCACTACAATCGATATGAATATGTGAGCTGACCATATGAAACGTGTGAGTCCGTTTTTTTTGGGACTCGAAGTGTTTTTCAAAATTGATTGTCGCTTTAGTGAATACATCATCTTGTAGAGAATTGAATTCTCTATTCAATGATGTATTGATTCTCTCTTGGCAATGGGTATTGAGTTCACTACGATCGATATGAATACTTGAGCTGACTATATGAGACTTGTGAGTCCGATCTTTTTTTGGGACTCATAACGGGTTTGAAAATTGATTCGCTCTATAGTGAATACGTCATCTTGTAGAGAATTAAATTCTCTATTCAGTGATGTGTTCAGTCTCTGTTGGCAATGGATATGGAGTTGACTACAATTGATATGAATACGTGAGCTGTCGATATGAGACTTGTGAGTCGGATCTGTGTTTCGATTTATGACAGCGGTCGAAATGCTTTATCACGATAATGTATACATCATGTTCTAGAGAATTAAATTCTCTATTCATTGGTGTACTCATCCTCTTTTGGCAATGGAAGATAAGCCCACAGGAGCTATTTGAATATCGGTAATGAGCTCATTTGATGGGTGAGGCAGGAGCCCGGGGTTGGTTGGGAGGTGTTTTTGTTGGTTTTATTATTTTGGTATGAGTAGTGGTGAAGGGGCGGGGTGAATATTGTTGATTTTTTAAGGTTTTATAGTGGGTTGCTAAGAAGTTTCATGTTGGTATTTTGTGGATAGTGTATGGTAAAACATGGATCGGTCGGGATTGGTCAATGGAAGAGTCGATTTTGATTGGTCGTCGTGCTAGCTTCACATCGATGATCGTAAAAGTGAAGAAGTAAATATTAGCAGAGGTAAACTTAAACTTATAACTAGTTTTTACTAAAGATTTAACTGTTGATTTTTAACGAAGAGAAACCTATGAGAAATATCACAAATGAAAAATGTTATTTTAGTAATACTAGTCTTTTTACAAGAACGATCACAGTGATTCTTCTTTTGTTCCTCCTGTCGTACAATTCTCATTGTCCGCAACCTTATGCCTTTTAGAGGAGGTCGATTTCAAAACGTTTGAACCCAGATCGGTTTTCGGGACCAATTTGATGGGCTCTAATCTAGACTTTCAATATACTCAATTTCTGATTTTTTAAACGTAGATTTGAAAATTAGCACTAATTTGAGATTGTCCATTTGTTTTAGTGACAAGATTAGATTTACGAGAAACTAGTCTTACACTTCAATCCATACTTGATTGTTATACTCGAAATATGTCAATGTATACTCATGATTCTGTTCTTCGACGTAAAATAAAACAAACAATCATAATAACTATATTTGATTCTATTCTCAATGAACAATTAAGAAAATTATTTAATGGATTTAAACCTTTGGCTGTTTATAAAGCTCAATTATTAATTGAAAAAGAATTGATAATTATTAAATTATTGTTAAACATACGTAAACAATAAGCATCATTAACAATTGATGATCTGAATAGATATCTTGAATCATATCCAATACCATGTCGATTATGAGTTAGCTTCCTTTTATTTTATAAAACATAGTTACACAAATGAATTTTTAGAGTCTTGCAAGTTACTACCATCGAGAAAAGGACTTCAAATGTTTCATTATAATATATGAACTTACTTTGATTAGCAAAAGAAAACTACATCATGTTTCTCGATTTAATCTCTAAAGGATTGCGCTAATAACAATTTTCAATTAATATTACAATGAAGAAATTAATCTATTCATAGATATAGCCAATGAATTACGTCGTTTAAAAATTATTTCACAATCTCTTGCTAATATTTAACTACACCTGAAGCTCAAGCTATGTTTCTTATTTATATGATGATTAAATTAATTTAAAAAGAAGGTTATATTGATGAAACTCATACAAGAGAAATTCTTAATTAATATCAAACAAATATTGAAAATGAAAAATTTAATATTATTTATTAACATATTCTACGTCATGGGTTTCTTACTAATGAACAAATAATTCAATCAGCTAAAGATTTTTTTCTACAAAATGTAAATAATTTTCTATTAAATAAATTGAAAAAAAAACATGTATATCGTTGATTTTAATTTAGTATCTTAATGAAGCTATACTTAAAAATCAATCAAGTGAATATAAAACTGTCATTCAAGAACAATTTTTAATTAATATACTTGATCGTAAACAATTAACTAATATACAATTTGAATTAGCACCTAATCAAAATATGCGTCAATGTCAAGTTATTTAAACAAATATATTAAGTAATCAAATAAAAAATACTAAAATAGTAAAAGAAAAAGTACAACGAAAAGTTGATAATGCTCTTTTAAAAATGGATGAAAATATGGAATTATTTTCTAAACCAACACAAATATTATCTTGTTTAACATATAATAGTTTTGTTAAACAACATAAATCTCTAATGGAAAATAATCAAAAATTATTAATCATAGATAAAAATATAAACAATGAATTATTACCAAATAAACGTTCATTACGTCATAATTATATACAAACTAAAATACCACGAAATCAATTACATTTATTAGTTGAACAAGACGATTGGAATAAGGATATTTATTTTGAATTTAAACATGAACTTAATATAATTGATTCTAATAATTCATTAGATCTTATACGACATATAACATATAATATATCATTATTAATTAAAGAAAATGATTCAATTTCTGGAAAACCATGAAAGAAACATTTTCAACAACATCAAATTTTATTTCATACAGATTTTCAATTATTATTTATTCGTTATGGTATGATAGCATTAGAAGATCTTATGGATTTATTAATTGTTAGTAAATTAGTTAAACCTAATGAAATTAAATCTTATGCCAAAACAATATTCTGTCTTACTGTGAATATAAATATGCTCATTTGCTATATTTAGTTTTCAGTAAAATATTGAATAATTTTACTCTATTAGTTATTAATTATGAGTATGTCATATTAATCAGATATCATTTATCTTGTAATTGCCAAAAGAGAATATGGTATAACTCAAGTAAATATCACGCGAGTACATATCCAACTATCAAACTGCTTCTATTGTTTGAAACTATCGCCATTGGATAGTGGTTGAACTACGAGTAAAGGATCACTAAGAACCTGAATAAGTGAAATTTCAAGCTAATGTTTTCTTCATAGACATATCATATAATTACTAGAAATTCTTTAATATTTGAGCTGGAGTGAACGCTTCCTGGTTCAGTTATTCACATTTTAAAGCAACAACTATTTGGGACTATTTCAAAAATATGCCATTATCATACCAAAGCTCATATCTCAATCACGGTAGGTTTGTTCTGATTCCAACTTTGAGAAATTCCTATTGACAATAAAGCTTATCATTAGATACATCACATCAATATCTACAAGCCTGTACAATCAGATTTTTGATTTAGTTCTACTGAAGAGTTTGGAGAGAATGCTATATTATAAAAACCATTGTTCCGTTTTGTAGATGCTGGTGAGATGTATCGAATGAGCTCTATGGTTGCATATCTTATAATCATTTCTTATTTAGGTAAATAAATTTATGGAAATTTCT